AAATTTGAAAAAAAAAAAAAAAAAAAAAAACCCAGAAGTCTGTGAACATTTTACAATTTTCTATAATTGTGCATAAATCACTAAAACATCATCATATACTGTATAGGATGCACCAATATTGGATTTTTGGCTGATATACGATATGCCGATATGTTAAAACTTATTTGGCCGATACAAATACCGATATTTTTTCCCCTAGATCTACTTACAGAGACTACATAGCTTTCTTTGTTGTGGAATTAAAATACTACATTATTCTACATGGTCTTTGTCAATTTGGCCTGCTACCAAATGCAGATGCCAAAAAGTAACAGTGCCTTTTATATAGACGAATCATTTTGATGGAATGGCCAATGTCCGATATTTAACTTTATCACCAATATCAGCCGATACTGATAACATGCCGATAATATCGTGCAGTTAAGCTGCACATATAAAATAATGATTGCAATGCAAACTTACATGAAACAAGCACATGGTTATAAATAATGAAGATTCATAATAATAATAAAAAGATTCTTGAACTTTGTAAACTTGCAAAATTGAAGCCATTTTTGAAAAGCTTGATTTAAATTTAGGACAGCATTTTCCTACCTTATTTCTAAACAGCCTAGCTTCAGTGCAACATCTTGATCCATCTTGTCAGCTATTTGTTGCATATAATCACGTTTCACCTTGAGAAAAACAAAATTATATCATCATTTTGGATAGTGCAGAGGATGCATAAAAATTAATTTTGCAAGTCTTAATATAGTCTAACAAATTAAAGCCAACTGGACATGCATTTTTCATTCTTGAAGACATTTTGCTTTTCATGTGAGGAGCTCTCTTAACCCTCATGTCGTCTTGTGGAGAAAAATCAGCCACACATTTATTTTTGTCTGTGCTATTACTTATTTATTTATTTTGGTGCAGTCAACGAAAAAAAAAAAAATTCTGAAAAAGCCTAAAAATACTTATACTTAAAAAAAATAATAATTTAAATGCTCTCTTAACCTCACAGTAACTTTACTACCCACTCATGTGTCTGAGAGGAAAAATTGGCCACAGTGGAATACATTGTAAAAACTAATTTTAATTCCATAGTTACCATATCATAAAATAATGCATTCCTCTCAGAATATTTTTTTCTTTTTATCTTTACTACTAAACTTTCAATTTTTACATGCAATTTTTATATTCCGCTTTTAAATTTTAAAGTCTCTGAAAAAACCTACAGAGACGCAGGTCAGCTCTCCACCAGCAGAGGGACGTCTTCCCGACCAGAGCCGCTGAGGAGTCCCGCCGCTCATCTCGACCAACAAAATCATTTTAGTTTGGATGTAAAAGGCAAAAATTCACTTGTAATGTGCACACGTGAATGTTTAGTACGGCATGGATGCAGGCTGCAGAATGAAACGCTCCACGGGTGACAGCATCTGACTGCAGTCGATTTATCTGAAGGCTGGTTGCCATTACTGAGTGTAGCATGCACCTGCAGCTCGCTCGCATTTCTGGGTTGGTACAGGCAAAAAACAACTTCAGAATGAATAATTCTATCACAGGTAAATTTAAAAATATAAAGAAAATAAAAAGAAAAAATGATTAGGAAAAAAACATCCATGTTTCAAGGCCTCATTTTCAGATACAAATTCTGAAGGGTCCGGTGGTCTGGAAGGTTTTTACAAAACTAAAAAAAAAGTAAAATAATAACTTTGGGCGTAGGAATGGGGGGAAATACCATTTTTTTCTTTGAAAATTGCCATAAAACAAATGTTTTGTGAATTTTTTTTTAACTGAAATGTGGAGTTATTTTAAACAAAAGACCCTAAAATAAAATACAATAAAATTTTAAAAAGTCATTTCAATAGATTTTTTTTATTTCAGGCTGAGACCGTTCTAAAAGATTGACTATTTTTGGAAGGGGTGGAATTAAGGAAAATGTTGTATTTTTAAGCAGTTAATTAAGGTGTTTGATTTTTTCCCCCTAAGGAACATTAAGTTTAAGGACGATACAAGGATTAATGATTTAACAAAGAGTAAAACATCTAAAAAAAAAAAAAAAACTAAAGTAAAGTTATGTTTGTTTTGATTTAATGTTACAATTACCATGTTCTACTTGACTAAGAAGCAACACCATACTTGTTCCAACTTAGATTTTACTTTGCATGATGGATTTTTTTTTTTCAGTTTTCTTGAGACCCTGCTTTGTTTTCTCACCTGGTGATAGAGGTAGTTGAGAGAAGGTTTGTCTTCAGAGAAATGGCTGAGATAACCTTTAGGAAAGTACCGTACCCGCAGCTCATACCTGAGAATGACAAGGGCAGTGTGAGTGGAGTGAAGTCTTAGACTGGCCAAAACCTATGGATGAGGGCTGACCATGTGTCTTGCTCTTGTTTTATAGTGTCACTTTAAAAGAGTGGCTGCCTGCCAACAGAAGCTGAGGAAACTGAGTCAAAGCTGAACGATGTGACACCTGCTACTTGCTATATTGCAGTACACTGGAAGGCACAGTGAAAGGCTACACAGCGAAGAGCTGCTAAGTAAACCATTTAACAAGTGATAAACTTGTAATACTGTAAAGCATAATGGGACGCCAGGAATTACACTGACCCAAAACTGTGTAGGAGGAGTAGCCTAATCAGCCACAGTTGTTTACAGTCTTATTTGTTCAAGAGTGACACATTAGAGACTATGGGGGAAAGAAGTGGGGCAGGAGATGCTACACGCCACTAGAAATCAAAGCCAAAGACAATACGACTAAAACATCGTAATTTATTATGAACAAACTAAAACGAGAAGCAATGATTCCAACTGAGGGAAAAACAAGAGCGCACATTTTGAATAAAAGATGAAGAGCAAAGTGAAAGAACTGAAAGCAAATGAACAGGAAAGATTTAGAGGAAACATGCACGAGAGCAAGAACTAAAAGAGACAGAGTGACTCCATCCCCTGGGCGACTGCTGCAGTTCTAACAATAGCATGGCGGCAGGAGAAACTCCTGTGGGCTTGCAGCTCTGCTGCCATCTGAGGCGCACAGCCTGCAACAACTGGCGGAGCTCCTCTGCTCTATCTTAGTGCTTCCTGTTGAATTTATTACAATTTTGATGACTTCAAGCTCAGGACAAAAAAGAACTGTTCACAATGTAAACTAAGGATGAACAAACATCATAATTTAAATGTAGGCTGAAAATAACATGAAACATCAAGAAAAAGCAGACTGTATAAATCTTCTTTCAGCTTTTCCCTCTTCAGGGGTCTCCACAGTGAGTCATCCTCCTCCATCTCACTCTGTCCTCTGCATCCTCTGTCCTCACACCAACTACCTTCACGTCCTCTCTAACTGCTTCCATATATCTCCTCTTTGTTTTTGTCTTTTTCTTGGCAGCTGCATTTCTAACATCCATCTACCAATATACCCACTGTCCCTCCTCTGGACATGTCCAAACCACTGTCCCTCCTCTGAACATGTCCAAACCACTGTCCCTCCTCTGGACATGTCCAAACCATCTCAGCCTCAATCTATAACTTTATCTCCCAGTTGTTCAACCTGTGCTGGACCTCTGAGGATCTCATTCCTAATCTTATCCATCCTTGTCACTCCTAAGAAGAACCTCAACATCTTAATTTCTGCCACTTCCAGTTCTTTCTCCTGTCTTCTTGTCAAACTGTCTCCAGACCATACAACATAGCTGGTCTCACCACTCTCTTGTAAAATTTTCATTTGACTCTTGCTGCCAATCTTTTCTCAAAAATCACTCCTGAAACTTTTCTCCATCCACTCCATCCTGCCTGAACTCTCTTCTTCACCTCTTTACTACACTCCCCATTTTCCTGAACAGTTGACTTTAAGTACTTGAAGTCCTGCACCTTTGTGACCTCTGCTCCTTGTAGCCTCACTGTTCCACCAGCCTCCCTCTCATTCACACACATGTACTCTGTCTTACTACGGCTAACTTTCATTCCTTAAGTGCATACCTCCACCTCTCCATGTTCTCCTTCACCTGTTTCCTGCTCTCACCACAGATCACAAGAAAATTTCACAAGAAAAAACATGTAAACTCCACCCAGAAAGACCCCCCCCCCCCCCCCCTCCCACCGGGATTGGATCCAGTGACCGTCTCACTGAGAAGCGACCAAACAGCTAATTGCGTCACACATTTTTTTCCCCTTTCTGTCAAACATTTTAAATTATTCTGAATATTATCTTTCACTAAATGTTCTCTATCCAAAATGTAGATACTAAGCAAATTTGCTAACCCTAATTTCTTATCATTAAACTAATTTGACATGGTGTTTTTTTAATATTAATACATTTTTTTTTAACATAAGGGATTTTAATTGATAAGGTCATTAGAAAAATCTAAGCAAATATGTTCTTGTTCTTGGTATTTTACCTTGTTTTATATGGCACCTTGATTTGATTGTTTTTATAACACTACATTTAATTTTTAGCTTTTTATTATAGGATATTGTTGTCTGTACTCTATATGTTGTCTGTCTAGAACAGGTCTCTCTTGAAAATGAGTCCTGGTGACTCAATGAGACTAACCTGTATAAATAAAGGGTGAATGAATAATACCTCTAAGAATTACAGCAGCACATATGTTGAAGTTTTCATTCAGAAAACTACTTTCAATACTTGAAGATACTGGGGCTCATAAGACCTTGTTATACAAAATAAAATATATCGATCTTGCTGACATGATTTGAGATGGTCTTTTTCACATGGACAATTCATACTCTAAAGAGAAACCGCCGGGGATAAGTCCTGATAATTCGTCTCGCTGTCCTCCCACAGCAGCACACGTCACATGCAATCAGAATCAACACAGACAGTGTGATTTTATGAGTGGATGCTTATTTTTAGTTCATGACGGAGGAGTTGGAGGAGGAAGATTTAATACTTCGGTTGTTAACTGAGGAGAAGCACTATTTTGTAAATTTGTCACAAACAGACCATCGCCACTTCCAACAGACTCTGGAGGGAATGTGTCCCTACGCTGCCCGTCCAAGGCACACTCCCTCTTGGTCATTAAAAGCCACTGCTGCCCGGGGGAGGCACACTTGTTTGTTGTATTAGATGCTGCCCTAAGATCAGCTCACAGCAGCCACTATGAACAAGCACGCCAATAAAGCTCTGACCAGTCACAAAATGTTCACCACATAGTGCTGTGACACTAGTTCTGACAGGGGCAATGCACAAGACGAGTCTCTGCAGGAGGTAAGAGAAGAAAACTGAAATTTTTTTCACGCACCCACATCAGCAAGACGCAAGAATGGGGTTTCTTATCGATTATAAATTAGACTTTACTCTGTATATTGAAGTTTTAATAATAAACTGTACCCATTAAAACCTCTCTAAAATAGAATTTAAAAACTAAGTTCAGATTGTTTTAAATCTATCTACCTATTATTTTTCTATGAACATAAAAGCACGTGACTTCAGTGGTAGAAACTACCAACCAAATGTAAATTTATATGATCTTCTACTGACTATTTGGATCTGGTCTTTCAGTTCAGTTTAAACATCCCATAAAGTCATATTGTAGTACCCCTAAAAAAGAAGTTAAGTTAAAGAACTACACAAATTAAGGGTGGAAACAGAGAGTGTATAAAAATACAAAATCCTAACGTTTTACCTCCACTCTTCTTGGGGATGCTGTTTCTCAAATCGCTCCCTCACATGAGACACGCCCAGGTCGGGATGTAACCAATGGAGAGCATCAGAGTGCAAATGGGTGAGACGGAGCCCCAAGGAGGAGACACAGCGTAATTTGTGGATTTCTGCTATCTTCTGTATAACACCCTGGTAACACAAACACATAAATACTGTAAATAAAAAATACTATTTTTTTTTGAGAATTTGGGAGATAAAAAAAGTTCTCACTGTACCCGGACATCTGTAGCATCTCCATGTCTGATATTACTTGCCCAGGTGCTTGGTTCACTGTTTGTCTCAAAGTAATGGAAGATCTTAAGAACTCGATCCATGGATGTTGGAGGCCGCTCCAGACCTCCTGCAGAGCCACTTGTGCCTGGACCACCAGGCATTCCTGGTCGGGATTTAACCCCACAACCGCCCGATGCTGAGTGATTGAGGCTGGGTTCCAGGTAGGAAGACGAAGCCATGCCTGACTCAGATGGTCCTGCTTGGGCTAACTGACCGTCATATTCTGAAAATAAGAGAAACTTTAGTATTACAAAAAAAAAAGAAACTTTAGTATTACAAAAAAAAAAGAAACTTTAGTATTACAAAAAAAAACTACTTTCAAGCAATCTCTAATAAACTAGAATAATAATCATCCAGTAACATAAGCATAGCGATAAGGGTTTATAAACCATGACTAGACCATTTACTATATAAAGTCCATGACCAAAATATGCAACAATCAATATCAGATAAAACAGAATTGATAATTAACAAATTCAAACAAAGTGGAGATTAAAAAGTTCCATCAATCAATAACAATATTCAAAACACTGACCCAACGTTTTTTATTGAGGACCGAGTGGACTCAGGTAGTCTACAATATATTCCTTAGAAATTCTTATGCACTGATCTGCCATAACAATATAACAATATGCTGTGTATATATGTATATATATATATATATATATATACACATATATATATATATATATATATATACACACACTGCCTGGCCAAAAAAAAAAGTTGCCACCTGGATTTAACTAAGCAAATCGGTACAAGCCTCCTATTGGATAATTACTGCGTGGGCGATTATCTTTCAGAAGGCAACAGCTTATTTAACCCCAACTGGTGCAATGAGTTGCTTCTCATTTCTTAAACAACCATGTTGAAAGTCACATCGCGTGGTCATGGAAAAGATGTCAGTCTGTTTGAGAAGGGTCAAATCATTGGCATCAAGCAGAGAAAACAACTAAGGAGATTGTAGAAACTACTAAAACTGGGTTAAGAACTGTCAAACGCATTATAAAAAACTGGAAGGATAGTGGGGACCCATCGTCAGGAAGAAATGTGGCTGGAAAAAAATCCTGAATGATCGTGATCGGCGATCACTTAAATGTTTGGTGAAATCAAATACAAGAAAAACAACAGTAGCACTCAGGACTATGTTAAATAGTGAAAGTAAGAGCATTTCCACACACACAATGTGAAGGTAACTCAAGGGACTGGGACTGAACAGCTGTGTAGCCTTAAGAAAACCACTAATCAGTGAGGCTAAATGGGAAAAAAAGCTTCAATTTGCTAGGGAGCATAAAGATTGGACTCTGGAGTAATGGAAGAAGGTCATGTGGTCTGATGAGTCCAGATTTACTCTGTTCCAGAGTGATGGATGCATCAGGGTAAGAAGAGAGGCAGGTGAAGTGATGCACCCATAGTGTCTACTGTACAAGCCTGTGGGGGAGGTGCTATGATCTGGGGTTGCTGCAGTTGGTCAGGTCTAGGTTCAGGAACAGTATGTACTCAAAGAATGAGGTCAGCTGACTACCTAAATATACTGAAAGATCAGGTTAATCTACCAATGGATTTTTTCTTCCCTGATGGCACGGGCATATTCCAAGATAACAATGCCAGGATTCATCGGGCTCGAATTGTGAAAGAGTGGTTCTGGGAGCAAGAGACATTATTTTCACGCATGGATTGGCCACCAGAGTCCAGACCTTAACCCCATTGAGAATCTTAGGGATGTGTTGGAAAAGGCTTTTTGTAGTGGTCAGAATCTGCCATCATCAATGCAAGATCTTCATGAAAAATTAATGTAACACTGGATGGAGATAGATCTTGTGACATCGCAGAAGTTTATCGAAACAACGCCACAGCGAATGCATGCTGTAATCAAAGCTAAACGTGGTCCAACAAAATATTAGTGTGTGACCTTTGTTTTTTGGTGACAACATTTTTTTGGGCCAGGCAGTGTGTATATATTCTACCCCTGTAAGCAAAAACAATCTTGCTGCACATTCACTGTCATTCAAGTGTGACGGGACAATAAAAATGCAATGTACTCATAAATGTAAAAAACTGTAATCAATCAGAACTAAATATAAAACACAAAACTAAACATTCTTCTCTCTGACTCTGTCACTCATATGTTTTTTTAAGCTCTCCTTGTACCCCAGGCACCACCTCATCCTTTTGTGAGATACTGAACACCCTGACGCTTCCTGCATAACCCTGCCCCTCTCTGGACATCCCAGCTGGATTTGTTGAGTCATCATTCATACAGGAAATCATTTCAGCTGACTCTAAAACTGGAACATCGTGTAAAAGCAAGTGATGCAAGAAAACCTAAGACTGATTTTTGAAAATCTATTCATCCTAAATAAGATCTCTGAAATGGCAATCACTATTTTCAACATAATTGTTTATCGTAATATATTTGGTGAAATAATGTATTTTTTATTAGTTGGCAAACCCAAAAGAACACAGAGACATCTTGCAAACATATAACAAAGTAAGAAAGTCAAGTGACAACACTGTGACACGGTGCTGAGACACAGATTGCAGATGCAAAAGAATTGCTATTTTTAATAATAAATTTGGTTTAAATTTTTTCGTTTTCAAACAAAAATATGGGCAAGAAACCAGAGTGGACCGATTCAGCATTTTATCAGCTTGACCATCAGTCTCCTCTTTAAGAAGGACAGTGTACATATACAGTATATATGACAAACAACAAAATGAAAAAGTATAGACGTCAGGAAGTGTTTTATGCCTCGACTCAGCCTCTACAAAAAATGCAGCACTAGAAGTTTTTGTTTAGCTCGGACATACAATACTTCTCTTGCCAACTGAGAAACAAGGCTGTATTTTTCTTTTTGGAGTGTTACAAATGTCCCATTTCACTTAGAAATTTTTACAGCTTCAGTAATCACACAATGGTTACTTGATTTGACTGTCTTCCTCTGTTACTATTATTTTTAATAACTTGATCTTGATTTAAAGTCTGCGTAGGCACTTTATTAACACAGAGCGGTGGTTATTGAGTTTGGGTTCTAGAAGATCATTGTTGATCTGACCTTAATCTGTTTTGCTTGAAGTGCCTGATGTGTCATCTGTGACAGAAAGCAAATGTTCCAGTGACCTAGTTAAAACAGATCCCAAGTAAATCAAAAAGGCCATTATGGGTTTGCAGGTGAGTGTTTTTGGATTAATACTGTAGCTGGAGCATGAAAAGATCAGTGCATTCTTGAAACAGATTAGAGTAGACCAGATTATAAATTCACTTGATTATTATTTATACTAGGATCATTGAATTAATATGATACTAATAAGGCAAAGTTATCTTACAAAAAGATTTTGGGTTTGAATCTCTGCTGCAGCCTTGAGATATGAACTAACTCCCTGCATCCCTGAAAAAGATTAGAAAGGTACAGAAAATGTATGCTTTCTGAAAAACAGGCACTGAAGTGTAGGAACAAAGTTATTTACGATATGAGATGCGTTACAGAGAAAGGAAGTCAACCATGCAAGTTTTTTTTAAATCACATAAATACTACAACGAGACAACTATCACACACGTACCAGAACCTCAATACTTCATTAAGCTTTACTCAGTTACATTAGAGAAGTAGAAATGTCAACTTTCCATGTATGCATAAAGCCTATTTATTTTCCAATGACACCTTTAGTGTAAATGATCCAAAGTAGATATAAAAGTATGTTCTTAATTTGTTTAAGAAGGGATATTTAAAATGTTGATAATTTCTACTTGTTTCACAGTAAACTATAGTACAGAAAGGACAGAAACTACTCACAGTTTCTACAGAACATTTAGATGAATGAGTTTAATGACGTAAAGCATGAGCATAAAACAGTTTGCGTTTGTTGTTTGATTTTTTTAAATTATGTACAGCATCTAAATATTTTAATTTTTTGTATGTTTGTTACTTAACTAAATTGTAATTTTGTGCATCAGGAAAAAAAATGCAATAAAACTACACAAAATATTAACTTTCTGACTGCAAAACCACATTATAGATTTGACAGTATGAAAATGAATGAATGCTTTGTAAATTGCACCTTGTTTACTTTGTCAGACACAAGTCCACAACATAACACAACTTATTTGAACGCACTCTAATCTGAATGAATTTCTGATTAAACGAAATGAACTTAATTTACAAACACATGCCATGGCACAGTCACAAGGACGAAAATGAAATCAGCTAGACCAAGCATGGAGAGAAGCAGGCATCTGGCAGAGCCCTCAGCTCCTCTCTCAGTGAGGTCCACTAAGTGACAGGCAGCCTGTCAAACCACAGCAGGCCCAGGATGAGTGATGCTCCACACCAGCAGCAGAGGACTGCTTCATCTCCTCGTCTTAACCTGTATCTGGATTACTTGTGTAAGCACAGTCCGGCAAGATCATTCCATTTTTCTTTATCCTTACATTCTCATTATCGTTTTGTTTGAATGCAACAATTTTCCAGCAGGCTTCCTTTTTCGGTTCATTCGTCTTTCCTCTGCAGCTCTTTTTCCTTTCTCCTCCTGTCTCAGTTCTCTTACACTTAGAGCTTTTAGTTTCCTTCTTTTCCATCTTCACTTGATCCTATACTGTCCTATTGAACCACCACGCTTCCTTCCTGCCATTTCTTTTACCCTCAAACCCTCTCTACTCACCTCCTCCTCCTCCTCCTCCTCCTCTCTGACATCCCTTAATCATTTTATCCTCTGCCAAGGTTGTCATCATGGACACCAGAGAACGGACAGGAGAAAGTGTAAAGTCTGAACACCAGCTGTATGTCAATACACACGTGTGAAGAAAGTTTCAGCCCTGTGTGTGTTAGCACACACCTCCAGAGGACCTGACTGCACTTTTTTAGATTTTTCTACCTGGATTATTGAGCATGCATCAGCAGAGCATGCACTTACATAGTGAGGAAATTAAATGACACAATAACATGTCATTTTAGTGGAAAAGGTTATAATATTTACATCCTTAAATTGCTGAATGATGAAATATTGTGAAATTCAATAGTGTAAGTGTTACGTTTAGTCGCCGTGATTCTTTTATTTGAACAAATTTTGATTTCATTCAGTAAAGTCCTGTGAACAAACAAGTTCTGCTATCATTACACAGAATGCACCCACACAACCAGCAATATTACAAGTAAATGTTGAGACAATAAAACATTTGCTCTCCTGATTGACAGCTTGTCACTCAGCTTCTGGATGTTTAAGTAA